AGTCCTCTCGGATAAGGCTAGAGAAAATATGAAAATCAAGCGGGATTTTCATATTTTTTGCGAATTTCGCTGATTTTCAGGCTTTTCAGAATGTCAAAACTCCTTGAAGAACGTCTAGATGCTTGTGCGAGGTTCGACGACGATAAATATTACACAGAGTTTCAAAGCTATTACAATATTGTCGCTCAAGTGCACTCAGTGGTTTTGACCGCCAGAAATGTCTATAAAATAAACGATTTTTTTCTTCAACAGATTTTTTTTGGCAACAAAAAATCAAATTTCAAATCAATTGTCCTTCTTTCCCTCATCTGATCCTTTTTTCGGCGATTCTGGTGCCACGTCATCACCATCACTGTCATCCATTTCGGCGTGCCGTTTGTCCATATGATCGATTTCGTTTTTAACGTCTTCAACGTCCTGAAAATTTTCGAAAAATTGAAAATTGCAAGTTTGTAGTTTGTAGTCTCTCCTCACCTTAATTCGATGATCATTCGCAATATCATCATCGTCGGGTGCAATTTTGATCGCTCCTCCAGATACACAGAACGCTCCCATGACCAATAGAAGACCGGTCATCTGAAAATAAAGCTAGTAAAAAGAATAAAAAAGGAAAATCGCCTAGATGGAATCGAACTTGCGAGCTGTCGGATTTAAAACAGACGCGTTGCCGGCTGCGCCACGGCGGAACACAGAATTGATGGGCGTCTAGGGCGTATAGAAAAGGTGAAGGTGGTGGCGCCGAGAGCCAAAGTTGGGGGGGGGGGGGGGGAGGTGGATGAGTCGAAACGAAATGAAGAATTTCGATTTCGATAGTTTTAGGAAATTTTAGATCCTTTTGGGCCTCTCAAAAGTCACAGTTTCAGACTCAATGGAGCGCACTTACCTCCACCACCGAAATCACTGAAAGCCCCAACCATAAGCCAGCTTGTCCTCCCAAATCGTTGATCACATTGCTCACCTGTAGAAATTCCGAGATCTTCTCAATAGAGCACACTTACCGTATATCCAGCAGTCTCTGTATACAACTCATAACTCAGCGTCTCCAAGAAAACTTGTAAGATCATTCCGTTATTATTATACCATTTTTGACACGCTGCCTTATTGGCAAAATTGGAATTTGATGAGTAACAACTGCCAACCTGAAGACATCGGGGACATCGGGACACTAAGATTTACAGTAACCTACTCCGGCGGATGATGACGTGGCAACATAGTAGCTGGTTGATGGGAACTGAGCAAGGGATACGGTAGGTGTGTAGGTGGACTCGTCACATGGCGGATTACAAGAGCATTCGACTAGAAGATCGATGTTCGGGTCGGAATTGGTTTGGTTTCCTTTGAGACCTTGGAGGCAGTCCACTGAAATTTTTTTTGGATTTTCTACCTTTCGTAGTTCTCATAGAACTCCGAAAGTATGTTAAAACTAACTTAGAAATTTGAAACTTTCAGAATATATAGAACAAAAATAGAGTTTCATTTTTGTAGTTTACAACTTTTCTGAAAAATTAGGTCCTAGGGAGATATGCCACGTGGAAGAGGCTTATCATCCAGCCAGTGACCCACACTTCCATGTGTCATATCTTCTCAGGAATTGATTTTACAACAAAGTTGTCAACTACAAAAAGGAAACCCTATTTTTGTTTCATATACTCTGAAATTTTCAGATTTGTATAGTAGTGGAAAAATGCTTTTTAGCGCCCCAAAGTAAGCATGTTGAAAAATTGAGAATATGGTTTTTGATGCACTGAAAAGCATTTTCAGCATTGTCGGATTTATTCGAAAAAATTCAAAAAACACTAAACGAAACCAGAACTTCATTTTTGTAGTTGACAATTTTTCTGAAAAATCAGGTCCTAGGGAGATATGCCATGTGGAAGAGGCTCTCCAGTCCAGCGCGCACTAGAGGCGGCGGCGCCAAGAGATGTCTTTACTTCCACGTGGTATATCTCTCTAGAACCTAATTTTTCAACAAAATTGTCAACTACAAAAAGAAAGCTCTATTTTTGTTTCATATACTCTGAAATACAAGTTCGCTCTATTGATAATCGCAGTCCGTTTACTCACAATCCGCCTTTATCGGTTGACATGCCGTATCTGCTGGTCCCAATTTCAACCTAGGATTCGCACAGTTACACTTGGCTACCGTATCCCGTTGTTTGCATCCGTTGAAGCATGTTTCCAAGGTGTAGGTGAAGTTCTGGAATATGGGACATCTGGACACAACAGATACACAGACATAGTACCTTGTAATAGTCAGAAGTGTCAGGCTCCCGACTGACACACTTCCCGTAAGGACGTTTGGCACGGACATGTTGGGTCTAGAAATTGTAGTTTGTAGTTTCAGAGCCTTCTGGAACCTTCTAGAGTGTTACCAATGTCACTGAAACAGCACTTTCGTATCCTACGCCTGCATCGATTCCATTTGAATCTAATCCTGGCTCATTTCCTCTTGAATTGACTGCAACTCGAGCTCCAGCCAGTTTGTGGTTGGCAAAAAGTCTGTAGTTCCACTGGTTTTGGTTTGCTGGAAGAGAAAACGATTTCTTAGACTTCCTAGGCCACCCTACCGTAACCGTCAACATCAGTTTTAAACCGAATTGAATACCTTCACGGCTTACAGAGTAGTTTAGTGAGGCGTCCTCGTTGAACGAGTAGCAAGCGCCGTAGACAGGATCAATGAACTTTTTGAAATCAGATCTGAAGGAGAATATAGGATAGACTACAAACTACAACTTACTCAGCACACGGGATTCCAGCAAAACTACAATCCTGGACCAGATCGGAATAGGTGTATAGTGCTGGCGCTTTATTAGTGTCGGATATCAAATTAGCTTCCAAAACCAATGCATCAGCAGCGCGAGCATCCAAATCGTATTCTTCAGTTTGTTCTTCCTAAAAATCTTCTTGTTCTTCCTAAAAATCGGCAAATCCTCAACTTCAAACCCATATATCTCATTTTCTGTAAAAGATATCAAAAACCTGTAAACTAACAAAGTGTTTATTATAATATTAAAAATATTTTGTCAGTTTATCACTTTTTGATATCTCTTGCAGGAACCGAGATAAATTGGCTTAAAGTTAAGGAGAGGTCATTTATACGGTAGCTCAATTATCTCAATTTATGTAAGAGAAACAAACATTTTGTCAACTAATAAAATGTTTGGCATAAAATCATTGACATTTTATCAGTTGACAATTTTTCGATATCTTCAATAGGAACTGAGATAATTGAGCTCAAAGTATATATTAGCGGACATGTTCTTGAGTTCAAGGGTGATGGGCAAGCCCACCGGCTAGGGACCAGAAAGCCCACTAGCCTGTACGCCCTCTCCACCATCTCAGCCTGTGGTCGCCGTGGTGTGGTGGCTAGCGCGCTAGACTTTTGCACACAACATGCGAGTTCGAATCCAGTAGAGTGCAAATCCTTATTTGGTTTTTGAAAACTTGATTTTAGCAAACGCGCTCCCCTGGACAGTTTTAGAAACTTCAAACTACCATTTTGACCTACATAAAGACCCCATTTATCAGTTCCATAGGTGCCAGCGACAGCATTCGAATAAGCAGTCATCAGACTATTGACTCCTTGAAATGCAGTGTTCGATTTGACTACCGTATACTTGTAGGGATTCATATTGCATACAGTAACAACTGGAAAAATCTGGAAAACTTTTTTTCTGATTTCCAAAAATCTCTGAAAATTACTTTACCTGTTTTTCAAAGAGAATCTCGGTGTTGACCGTCGCTGGATAGGAGAAAAATTTGGCGATTAAAATGTAGAGTTCATAGGCAAACATGCCAAGGACAAACACAAAAATGACAATCCAGAAGATTCGGGAAATCTGGAATTTTCAGAAATCCAGAAATTCAAAAATTCAGAAATTCAGAAATTCAGAAATTCAGAAATTCAAAAATTCAGAATTTTCAGAAATCTGGAAATTCAAAAATTCAGAAATTCAGAAATTCAGAAATTCAGAAATTCAGAAATTCAGAAATTCAAAAGCTCAGAAATTCAGAAATTCAAAAATTCAGAATTTTCAGAAATCCAGAAATTCAAAAATTCAGAAATTCAGAAATTCCAAAATTCAGAAATTCAGAAATTCAAAAATTCAGAAATTCAAAAATTCAGAAATTCAGAAATTCAAAAATTCAGAATTTTAGAAATTCAGAAATTCAGAAATTCAGAAATTCAGAAATTCAGAAATTCAAAAATTCCAAAATTCAGAAATTCAGAAATTCAGAAATTCAGAAATTCAGAAATTCCAAAATTCAGAAATTCAGAAATTCCAAAATTCAGAAATTCAGAAATTCCAAAATTCAGAAATTCAGAAATTCCAAAATTCAGAAATTCAGAAATTCAGAAATTCAGAAATTCAGAAATTCAGAAATTCAGAAATTCAGAAATTCAGACGGCCTAACTTTCCCATTTTTGGGGTTTTCTAGGCCACCACCGTATTCCCTCAATACGGTCCCCTTCGTTCCTCAATTTCTCACCTTAGAAGAACAACTTGTTTATCTCTGTTTCGGAATGACATCATTCCGAATTTTCTTATCTTCTCTCTCTCTCTCTCTCTCTCTCTCTCTCTCTCTCTCACCTTATTATTTGCATTTGCCACGTGCGGAACGACAGCTACAGTACTCCAATTGGAAAAATCTTTAAAAATCTGAACGAATCCGCCGCCTCTCATTTTTGGAAGAAAGTGAAAAAAATGGAAGATTTCGAAGACTTTTTCTGGTAACCATGGATACCAAGGATTGGAGGAATTTTAAATTTTTTGGAGAAGAGCATTTCATTGTTTCAGAAACATGTTTTTTGCTCTTTTGCTTCTTTTCTTTCGGGGAATTTTTTGAAAAGGAGCAATATTGTGACTTGGGGACTAGAAATGAGGGAATCGGGGTTTTCTAGGTCACCGAATCTCCAGAATTCGAAGATTTTTAATTTGGAGATCAATACGCTAAAAATCTGAAGAAATGTTGCTTTTTTGTCTGAACAACTTTAGGATATTCCAGAAAAATTGCATAATCTGAAATTAAAAAATTGGTGAAATATACAAAATTTCTAGAATTCAGAATTTCAGAGCCAGAATTTCTGAAATTCTGAAATTCTGAGATTCTAAGATTCTGAAATTCTGAAATTCTAAAATTCTGGAATTCTGAAATTCTGAATTTCTGAGATTCTAAGATTCTGAGATTTTGAAATCCTGAAATTCTGATGATTATGGAACTAGAAATTCTGAGATTATGAAATTCTGAAACCTCTGAAATTCTGAAATTCTAAAAATTCCGATCCTTTTTCGAAATTTTAAGCTTCTGGAAGATTTTAGGATAGTTTTCCTATTTTATTGCTCTTTGTTTCCCGAACTTCCATAACCTTTTTTTCAGAACTTGCTTCATTTTTTTTTCTGGTCATTTTTAGATCACCTTGCCTCCCCATCCTAAAAATATACAAAATATCACATCACCAAAAAACGGATCCCTTTTTCGTCTATATTTTGTTCAGACAACAACAAAAAACTTTGACGCTGACAACGGTGAGCAGCTGAATCTCTCTTAGGTGTTAAGGATTAGATGGGGGATTTGAAATCCCCGGATTTTCCCCTTTTTTCTTTTGGCTTATACGTATACTGAAAATCGTATAGTTGAGGAAATGAAGGAAAAGAGAGAGAGAGAGAGAGAGAGAGAGAGAGAGAGAGAGAGAGAGAGAGAGAGAGAAATAGAAATATCCCAGAAATAGGTAGCTGGAACACAACGAAATTTTCTATGAGTTAGAAGTACCGTACCAAACAAAATGTGAAAAAATACAGCCCACCCGCACCTACAACTTTGATCTCAATTATCTCGATTCCTGTAAAAGTTATTAAAAATGTGTCAACTGATAAAATATTTTTGATATTATGATGAATCTTCTAAGAGTTGACAAAATGTTGACAACTTTCATAGGAATCGAGATAATCAAGCTCAAAGTGGGCGGTGTGGGTGGGGTTCTATTAGAGGAATTGCTGTACCCAAAGTTGACTATCTTCCACTAAAATAGCAATTTCGAAATTTCTTTGTTGGTTATTACTGTACTAGATTTTTTCAGAAGTTTTAAAACGGTTACTGTAATCATTCCCTAAATTTTGGCTAATTTTAAGTGGCTAACAAAGTCTGAAAAAGGATAAAACCAAAAGAAATATATGGAAAATTTGGTTTTTGAACAAATTGTATTTTTTATTTCTCATAATAATACAAATATTTTATCAGTAGACAAAATTTTAGTATCTTTCACAGGAACCGAGATAATTGAGCTTCAAGTTGACGGTGTGGGTGCGGTTCTGTTAGAGCAAGTACAGTAGTCAAACTTGCAGTCCTACAAAAGTTCTCCAGAATTTTTCGGCTTGCTTGAAAATTTTAAGGAATACTAAACAAAAGCTTCATTTTTGTAGTTGACAACTTTTTTGCCAATTTTCGTTCTGATGAGATATACCATACCATGCCGTTTGTAATAAAAAAAGTGTCAAAGTCTCATATCTCGCTTTGCTAAGTTTGTTCAAAAAAGAAACAACTTACAAAAATGAAGATCTATTCTTGTTTATTGTGCTCTGGAATTTTCTGAAAAATCGGAAAATTCAATTTCTGGACTACTTTTGTAGAACTTTGAATTTGACTAATTCCAATTGAAAATGCCAAAAATGTAGTTAACCCTCAAAATCGAGGGGGCCTATCCTTATCGAACGGGCTCCGTGTCACTTCAAAACCGCGACGTTTCGAAACCGGTCATTTCGAAACCGCGAAATTTGCACGCTGCAATTTTTTCTTTAATTTAAGACTTCAAAATTTCCTAGTTTCAATTTCATTTTTACGTGACCGTGTTTGTTTTTCGGTTTCGAAGTGTCGCGGTTTCGAAATGACCGGTTTCGAAGTGTCGCAGAGCCATTGAACTCACTGAAGTGAAATTTTTGAGAGTTTCAACCTCCTGAAACATTCTTGAATTTAGTAGTATCCACTACTTCAATCCACTTCATTATTACATCGAATTAATGCTAGAGCGCACTTTCATGTCCCTCAACCAGTCGTTTTTCCTTACCTCTCCCCTTCCTTTTTTCCCCCTCCCAGATGACGTCACCCATCTGTCCACCCTTCTAACGGTCCCCCCCACCATCTGCATGGTGTCCTCGGGGGTGAACAGCTGCACATTTATTGTTCCCTTCTATTCCCCCCTCCTCGGTCATCGCGGTTTTATCCCCGCCGTCCATTTGACCATTCTTTGCGTCTCTTCCCTCTCTCTCTCTCTCTCTCTCTCTCTCTCTCTCTCTCTCTCTCTCTCTCTTTCTCTCTCTCTCTCTCTTCTTTTTCTTCTAGGCGAAAGAGGTCACATGGAAGAGAAGAGGATGATGATGATGATGATGGTGGGGTGAGAATAGAGTGGTGGTCTAGAGGAAGAGGTCTACAATAACGGACAGGAAAAATGGAATTGATGGGTTTTGCGGTGGTGCGCGAGTAACCATGATAACTTATCAATGGAGCGAAGGTGCTACAGAACCTCTGGAGCTTTAATCCTGGAAGGGAGTGTGTTGTCAACGGAGCGCACTTGCTGTGGACCCAAAAACAGCTGGAAGTGTTTCATCGGGAAATGAATTATTCTTTAAGGTCAACTTCCTAAAATTATTATAGTTCTAGTGACTCTGAAAATCTGAAACCCTGTCATATATGACATTTTCGGAATCCTTCAAGAATTTAGTAGGATTTTTCTCAGATCTGCACAGAGAAGATTTTGGAGGAACTAATTTAGGAAATATCTAAATCTGCAGAATGAGGAGATTTAATGAGATTTATGAGCCGCGTTATTATTTATGAGTTATTTTGAAAATTTAGAGGATTCAAATTTTAACCTTTTGGGCTTTAAATAAGAGGGGACCTGAAAAACGGGAGATGCCGTGTCGCAACCAGACACCCCCCCCCCCCCCCTCAACTTTCATTCCATTTATAAATGGGTCAAAGTTAAAGGGCTTCTTGGTCCTTCTGATTCTGTGAATCTCAGAATTTCCAAACCTCATAAACTAATTCCTAGATTTTTGCAACTTCAGAGATACAGATTTTCAGATTTTTCAGAAATTAAGAATTTCCAACAAAAATTGAAATTCACAAGTTCGATCTTTCCTGTGGCTTTTTCATTTTTTTTTTGTTTTTTTTTCTGAAAATTTTTTTAAAAAATCTTAAATTTTCAAACTTTTTATTAATAAATTAAGTGAATTATTTCGAAAAACTGAATAGACACAAAGAGAAAAAAAAACGAAAACTAAAAACGGAAAAAAGAACATGTACTGTATATACAAATATGAATGGGTTTTGGGCGGGAATTTGAATTTTTTTTTTTCGAAATTCATATTCTTCCGAAATTAACAAAAATAACTGGGCGACTGGGACATACAGGGACTGACTGAGAATGGAAAGTTCTGGAAATTTCCAGAAAAATGAAAAAAAAAGAAAGAGATAATGATAAAATGAAAGAGATTTTAGGAGAAAAGTGGTGGGTTCCCGTAGTTTTTTTAAAGGAAAAATAAAGTATTTTTTGGATGATGGGATTGGGGGCGGAGCCTTTTTTTTTGAGACAATTTTTTTTCGAAAATTTTTTTCTACCAGTAATTTCTTTTTAAAAGTGTGAGTGGGGTGTTTGAAGTATTATATGAATCGATAAGGAAAGTGAAAGGAAACATAGGAGCCTAGTAATTAAGTCAAAATAGTGCCTAAAAAGACGACAGAAAATTGTGGAGATTTTCGCCTCGATTTTCAGATCTTGATACGCTTCTGGAACGCTACATTGAAGTCGTCGAAGAGTTCGGTGGAGCGACGTTTCTTTTTGTTAGCATGACATTCTCCAGTTGCCACGTCGAGATCTGTCAGCTCATGGGTGTCATGGAGTGGTTCCGGAGAAGTGGATGTCTGAAATTATGATCTTTGAAATTTTTTAGAATTCAAAATTTTCTGCCTCCCATCCTCTGGTTCAGGCGCGATCTTATCTATGACGTAGACGCCTTCCGTGCCTCACATGACATCTGCACGCGTGGCCTACTAGCTAGCAGCGCTGGTTTCGATGAGAGGGTTCGCTGGTTCAAGCCCCCTGGCTGCCTATTCCTTTTTTGCTTCTATTTTAGAATGCCCAACTCACAAAGACTGGCTCCACGGATGCTCTGTTGGCCAGGAAGTAGTCGTCTCCCGGGAAATAGGTCGCCGGTCCTCCTGGATTCGCCGACGTGTACGCATCGTAGCGAGACGGCTCACGAACGCATCCGGAAATGCTTGCCAGCGGATCGGAAGCCATTGGAAGATCTCCTTCGGTCGCCGACTCGGACATCGAGCTACCACCACCATACATATCAAACGATCCATAGCCGGAAGAGTAGGATGGTGGAGACATGTCGAATGGATTGTAGGATACTGTAGACATGGATCCGAAGCCTCCGCTCAGCTCGTTGACCGGATACGGTTGATGCAGCCAAATATCATTGTGCATCATTTGATGGTGATGGTGGTCGTAGTTGTTGGTGAGGTCTTCCAGACGGAACTCGTCAATGTCTTCCTCGAAAAATGCCACTTCAGACATATCGTAATCGTCGTACTCCTCGTCAGACGATGAGGCCATGTCTTGTTCTCGAGGCGACGTTGGCTTTTTTGGCATTTTGAAGAGGTCCGATACAAAGTTTTTGATGAGTACTCTGGAAAGATTCCAAGGTTCTAGAGGGGCTGAGGGAAAATACTCTAACACCATTCCTTCTAAGTTTGAGTTAATTTATCTAGACTCCTGTCAAAGGTATCAAAAAGTGATCAACTGATAAAATGTTTACCATAATTCAAGAAACCTTTTATTAGTTGACAATTTTCTGATATCTCTAACAGGAAACAAGATAAATTAGCTCAAACTAAACCATCCTAGAACCCCCAATACCAACTACAGTATCACGAACCTCTTCCTCATGGCTCTTCCTCCACACCCGGCTCGCTTCTTCTCCGACTTATCACTGCATTTGTGAAGTGCCACGTTGCACAAATGGCCGAAGATCTCCTCTGTCAGATCGTTCAGCTTGTACGTCTTGTTCATCATTATATCTGGAAGGATTCGAGAAATTAGAGATAGAAACAAGAAGAAGAAGAAGGACATAAGTTCAGAAGACGTTATGATTTTTGATACTCTTCAAGGGGAAGTGTACTTCGGAAGGCAGTAGTTACAGCAAGGGCGCGTCAGAGAAGGTGACTTATCGCTACAGTACCCCACGCCAAAATTGAGAGAACGCGCGCGCGCTTATCACGGGACTTTCACACCTTGTAAAAAGTGTGCGCGCGTGACCGACTGGCTAGAAGGCTCGTTTTGGTGCGAGAGGCCAGGGGTTCGATTCCCAGCTAGGGTAAAAGCCTTTTTGCTTTTGTTTTATAGCTTCTAGTGGGGTGTAGGATGTCGTAGGAATGGATCCAATGTCTAGGGGCCCCGTTTTAGGCCTAAAGATTCTGTTTTTCGCTTTTCTAGGCCTAATGGATCTAGTTTGAGACACTAGCCTGTATGTCTAAAGCTAGCCTTTATGTCTAAAGCTAGGCTGGTCCTTAACGATAGATTTTCTAAACCTTATGGCCTAAGCTAGCTTTCGATCTTAAGACCAAGACCTAGGCTACCGTATTATTTATCTAGGACTAATGCATCTAGGTAGAAGGCTAGGCCGAATCTAGCCTTCAATGTTAAGATCAAGACCTAGGCTACCGTAGCTGCTCCCCATACATTCCTGGTCTTCGAAAATAACTTTTGTGTCTATTTCCGTTCTTCGTTCCCACACTCTGACTGGACCTAGACTCTAAAGAACACGCACACAATTTGTATCATTTCCTCTCGGGTTTATTTTTTCTCCTAACCAATTGGTCATTTTGTGATGTTTGCATGTGCTGTCTCGCCACACTCACACAAAAAATAACTATGTGTCTGGAGAGATAAATGAATGCACTTTGCTCTCTCATTCTACCCGTGTGTCTCTCTCTCTCTCTCAACAATGAGATGGTGATGATGATGTGTTTTTTCGCGTATCGCGCCCCTATAGGAGGCCCCCGTGAGGCAGCAAGAAGAAGAAGAAGAAGAAAGAATTGAAAGAAGCGGCGCACACAAACCCAACACAGCCCAAACTGCGCCCCATAGTGAAAAAGCGAAAGAAGAAGAAGAAGGGAGGGGGCTGTCCTATACGCTGTGCCCCGCGGGCTGCTGTGGCTGCTATAGCGAGCGAGCGCGCGCGCACAAGGCCACCCCTCTCCCCCTTCTTTCTCTCGTCTTGTCCTCTCTCGCTTCTCTCTGCATTCTCTAATTCACTATCTCCTTACCCCCTCTTCTCTGGCCTCTCCTCTCCGTCACATGATGTCTTTGTAATGACGAGTGGTGCTCTCCTCGTTCCCAACACTATTTCGCATCCATACATACACATCGGGCGAAGCGGCAACCCGACGGCGGCCCAACCAACCAACCAACACAGCCTTCTTCCCTTCTCTTCCCTTCAATTTGATTCGAAAGAAGGAGAAGAAGAAGGCAATGGAAAGAAGGGTTTTGGCTGGGCTGGTGGGGGAAACAAAGTCTAAAAGGTTCGCCGATGTATGTTCATCTTCTTGTTCAGGACCAAATGGCCGAGGATTTGCAATCGGCGGCCGGGAGACGGGTTGAACGAAAAAAGTGTATCTTTTTACTCGAAAATTGAGAGAACACCCCGGCATGTTTATCATCATCGATGGGGGAAAACCCCCCGTGTCCTATTAATAGACGACAGACCTGGAAATGAGAAAAAAACGGACGGGAGGTCAAAATGTCTACTATCAGTTCGGGCGGTACCTGAAATGTCTGTTTAAAAAAAAGCGGAACACAAAAGAAAAGTAACACTTTATTGGATCGACGAAGAAATGGAATCTGGAACTTGACGGTTATGACCTACTGTACTTTGAGCTCAATTATCTGAATATCTATGAGAGATATCAAAAATTGCTAAACTACAAAAAATTAGTGGTATTATGAAGAACATTTTATTAGTTGAAAGATTTTTGATATCTCTTAAAGGAACTGATATGAATTGGCTCAAAGTTGGAAGTCCATTTTATTAAGGCAATCTATGAATTTCAGGATTACAAAGACTCAGAATTTGGAATTCTTAGATTCTGCAGTCTTTTAGAATGTTTCTGCAATTACGGTATGTGAAAGGGCCAAATCTTGATAGCCATTTTCAGCAAAACAATCGTTTTCTAACATTTTGACCAAGTCTAAAACGGACCCATGTCTTAAAGGGTCTTTCAAAAGTTGGCAGGTCAAATTTTAGGCGTATAGTTCAACTCAGTTTGAATCTCCTTTTTGTTGAAAATTTAAAATTTAAAATTTTTGGGATTTCATGGCCTAGTTTATGTCATCTAAACAAGAGGTTTTAGGTTAGAACTTCCTTTAGGAACTTTCAAATTTCTCATAAATCTGTCTGTGTGTTGGTTTGTACGGATTTCCTCTTTCTTATTTTAAAAATTATTTGCTTCTAGTTGGTTTGAAGCTTAACCAACTTTTAAATTTCTTCTTCTGTTAAAGTCTGTCGGTGAGTCTGTGTATCCGGATGTCCAAGTTTTTCGTTTGGAATTTTTGAAGAATGCCTTTGGGTTCCTGTCTGCATTTCGACGTGATGGTGTTTGCGGAAATTAGAGCTACAGTAATTCACAGGTCAGAATACACACGAAAACATCGCAATGAGAAAGGAAACTTGCTCCTACAGAATTCAGAAATTTTCCAAATTTTAGGATTTTTAGGATTTCTAGAATTTCTAGGGATTTTGGATTTCTCTTGGAGTTTTAGATTCTAGATTTTCAAATTTTTCGAAAATCTTCAGAATCTCAAAGTCTGTTTGTCCAGATGTCCCATGTTCTCGACTCTGAAATTTTTGATTTTAGAAAACTCAAAAATTCGCCTATTCTTCCATTTTTGAATTTTCCTATCAACCTGAAAATTTTGAATTTTTCGAATTACCGTAGAACCTGTATTAGAAGGGCCCCTCTAGTAGAAGGGCCCCTCTCATAGAAGGGCCCTCTGTGAGGGGCTTGGAAAAATAGAAGGGCCCCCTGTAATAGAAGGGCCGGCCCTTCTAATACAGGTTTTACGGTAAGTGCTTTCTAAACCACCCATTCCATTTTTTTTCAGCTCCGCCCAAAAAAACAATTTTTTCGATTTCATAAATTTTTTCACTTTTCGGCAGAGGACGCAGGTGGTGTCTAGATTGCCACAGCCTCTCTCCGCTAGTACTTGTTGTTGACTCACCAAAAGAAAAAAAGAATTTCGCAATATCTATTTTACAAAAAAAATATTCGGTGTGTCCGGATGTCCGGATTGCGTTTCTTCACAGCTATAGTAGTCTGGAGCATGCCTGAAAATATTTTTCCATCGCGAAGATTGCCTCAAAACATTCGTACAGTAATCCCAGAGCTCTTTTGGATGAGTCATACGGTAGATGGTGATGATGATGATAAGAGGAAAATGGAAGAAAGAGAGTATGGAAAAATGAGAGAGTCTAGAGAAACAGAGAGTGTATTGGAGCAGAAGAAGAAGAACGTCATCAGATTGTCTTATCAAAAATGAAAAAAAAACGCGGGGGAAGAAAAAAATGTGGAGGAAAATTTTGAAATTTAGAGAACTAGGAGGAAAAGGGAAAATGCAAAACTATGAACGGAAAAAAAGTAGTGTCCTTGGAAAAACGCCTTTTGGTGGGATTGTGAAATTGGATATGTTATTTTTGGCAAAATAATAAATGTGTCTAATAACGATTTTTGGTCATTCTAAATTTTGAAAAAAAGTGGAATTTGAAACCAGACGGAGTCCTAACTTTGACCACATTTATCTAGGTTACTGTAAAAGATATCAAAAAGTTGTCAACTAATAAAATGTTTGTGATACTATGATAAACATTTTATCAGTTGATCACTTTTTGATATCTTTTATGAAAATCGAGAAAAATCAGCTTAAATTTTGGGACGGACTTCTACGCTAAGATAGGGTAGAAAGAACTCCTAGCTTTGGCCCAATTTATCCAGGTCCCTGAAAGAGATATCAAAAAGTGATGAACTAACAAAATGTTTGTGAAAAAATGATAAACATTTTATCAGTTGACTACTTTTTTATATCTATCACAGAAAGAGAGATAAATTGGCTTAAAGTAAAAGGACTCTTAAACAGACTAACTTTTAGGATTTACTTTTTTTTTTTGAAAACGGCAAATTTTACATGATCTACAAAAGCAGTTAAAACTATTTTTATTTTTCTGAAATTTTTAGAGTATACTAAACAAAAATACATAGTCCTTCAAGTTTATAGTTGACCACTTTTTTGTGTTATTTCATCTAAATGAGATATGGCGCAGAGAAGATGTCTGACGCCTCTACTTGGCACCGTGCCAAGAAGGAACAAGAATGTTGGCACGGTGCCAGGACCTCAAAAAAATGTTGCTCTATTTTTATTTTCTTTTAGAAAGGAAAATCTGAACTTTTATGAGGAATAGAAATTTCAGAAAAAATGAAAAATTGAAATTTCCAAAAAAAAAACTATAGGAGGATTTTCCTAAAATCTGTCCGTTTGTATTTCCTAATATCCGGTTGTCCCTAAACTAAAAAAATTGTTCTCAAAAATTCTGATTTGTCAAAAAAAAGGAGAAGAATGTTCTATTTAGGACGGAAACAAGAAATCAGAGAGACACAAAAAAAAGCAAAAACGTGCAATAAGAAAATTAGAAGATGAAAAAAGAGAAATAACGAAAAAGAGAAACAAAACATAGCGTTTTTTTTTCGACGGGAATGAAAAATGAAGAAAATGGAGAAAACGAAAAAAAGTGTGAAACTTTTTTTTTGATTGGTGGGAATTTTTTTGTCTTGAGTGGGAGGAAAAGGAAGAGGAAAATGATGAACTGGAGGTTTTGAAAAGGAATCACACGAATTTGAAAATTTGAGTTCCCGCCAAGATTCCACGGGACTCTAATTTGAAAATTTTCGAAAATTTGAAAATTCAAAATATGAAATATTTTCTGTGTCAAATGACAGAAAAATTAATCAATCTTCGGCTCCGAATGTTGTTGTTGTTGTAAAAGATACGCAGCGAAATTTGAAGCGGAGCCATTTGATGCTCAGTTAACGGTTTTTTTTATTTGTGAAGAAATATTATGACGTATAGATGAAAGCAGCCCTGGAAATCTAGAATTTCATGAAATCGAAAAAAAAAATTACCAAAAAAGCTTCCTGTCTATTCTATTCCTGGAATAAAAGGGTTTCCCAATTTTGACCCAACTTATCTCGATTCGCATTGGAGATATCAAAAAGTTATCAGCTCATAAAATGTTTATCATGATATCACAAACATTTTATCAGTTGACAACTTTTTGATATCTCTTACATGAACCGAGATAAATTGGGCCAAAGCTAAAAGGTCTTCTTACCCTATCTTTGCGTAGAAGTCATCCCCCAATTTAAGCTGAATTATCTCAATGCTCATAAGAGATATGAAAAAATTGTCAACTAACAAAATGTTTACCATATTATCATAAATATATTGTAAGTTTATCATTTTTTGACAACTCTTACAGGAACCTAGATAAATTGGGTCAAAACTAGGAGGTTCTTCTACCCTACCTTAGCATAGAAGCCTCTTCCTAACTTTGAGCCAACTTATCTCGATTCTCATAAGAGATATCAAAAAGTTGTCAACTAACAAAATGTTTGTGATATTATGATAAACAATTTATCTGTTGACACATTTTTGATATCTTTCACAAAAAGCAAGATAATTTGGCTCAAAGTTGAGGGACCTTTCTGTTACATCGGGTTAAAATGAACCTTCTAAATTTAAATATGAATCTCAGGATTTCAAAATCTCAGAATTTTGAAATTTTGTATTCTCACTTCCCTGAAAAATATGGATTTAGCCAAGAGAATTGGAAAGAAAAGTGAAATGACTAGAAGAAAGAAACGAAAAGCCAATAGCTATGGAGACCCGTCAGAAAACCAAATACGCAAACTTTTCACATCATCTCAAACAAAACACACAAATACACAAAAAGGGAAAGAACTAGAGGAAATTTCATGAGAAAAATACAATTTGTTCAAAAACCAAATTTTCCATATATTTCTTTTGGCTTAGACATTTTCAGACTTTGTTAGCCACTGAAATTAGCCAAAATTTAGGGAATGATTACAGTAACCGTTTTAAAACTTCTGAAAAAATCTAGTACAGTAATAACCAACAAAGAAATTTCGAAATTGCTATTTTAGTGGAAGATAGTCAACTTTGGGTACAGCAATTCCTCTAATAGAACCCCACCCACACCGCCCACTTTGAGCTTGATTATCTCGATTCCTATGAAAGTTGTCAACATTTTGTCAACTTTTAGAAGATTCATCATAATATCAAAAATATTTTATCAGTTGACACATTTTTAATAACTTTTACAGAAACCGAGATAGTTGAACTCAAAGTTGATGGTGTGGGTGTGGGTTCTATTAGAGGGAATACGGTAGTTAAACCTGAAGTCCTACAAAAGTGCTCCAGAATTTTTAGATTTGTCGGAAAATTTCAGGTTACACTAAACAAAAATAGAGCTTCATTTTTGTATTAAACATATTTTTGTGTAGTCACTGGTTACATTGGATGAAAGACATGGCATCCAAAAATGCCGGAATTCCATATGAAATTGTTTCAGACTGTCTTTTCGGGGGAGGCGGGGAGATCCTTTCTACGAGTGCATGTACAAAAAAGTTGCTAATTACAAACATAGAGTACTGTAATTGGTTAGTGATATCTGCAACTTTCAATAGAGCAATTACTAAGAAACCCCAACCTCAATTGTCCTCTAGATGCATTCTCAGGTTCGGCTCCTTTTTGCATAATTGCGCCTTTGCCGGGCCTTCGCGGAATCTGCCATAGTTTCTTAGAAAATCAATATTTTTAAATTAATTTAATTAGATATGATAGAACTTGTCGAATGTTACGAAATGATACTATTTGGAGTACTGTGTCTTGTCTATGAACAAAGTTACAAACGAGAAACAGAGGCCCGGCCACTTTATGACTTGTAACTTTGTTCATAGACAAGATACAATATTCAAAACAATATCATTTTGTAGCACTCGTTGAGTTTTATCATATCTATTTTAGTCATGTCAAAAATATTGCTTCTCAAAGAAACTATGGCAAGGCCCGCGAAGGGCCCGGCAAATGCGCGGTCACAAGTATGCATTTTTGAAATCTTCATGCTTTTCTGTGTGAATAAAAGAACGAAAGTTGATTGATGTTATAATAAAATATATAGGCTCAAATTAACCTAAACAAATACAAATTTCCCGGGACGAACTTCGAAATAATATGATACAAATTTGAAGAAACAAAGCTATTTTAGGAATCCAGACGAGTTTAAATATAATGAAAATTGGGTGGTAGTTTAGAGCCAAAAATCGCTAAAACATTCAAAAGATAATATGATCTGGACCTTAAAATTGGAAATTCCAAAACAGTGCCAAACTAAAAAGAAATGTGCTAACCTGAACACACTGACTGACACGTACATATCAATACACCATGTTATAAAAATGTGGTGGTTTATTGATGGGGGGTTTTAGAGGGAATAGAGAACGAGTGAATTGGAGAGAGAAAGAGAAAAAGAAAAGGTTCAATAATGGCCGATTGTGCAGTTTTATTACTTTGGGTGAAATGGAGAAAAAGGGAATGAAACTCGAAAAAAAAAACAAAAAAAAGGAAAAAAGAACTAAAAACTACGAAATCAGGGGAAAATACTTTTGAGATCATGCTCCTTTAAATACCTACTGTAGAATCAAAGGAACATGATTAGAAGTGATAAGGTAGCGGCACATCCCGTGAGATACCCGAAAATGCGAGATAAAAATTCGCTTAACTATCTCGCTTCCCATTAAAGATATCAAAAATTTGTCAACTGATAAAATGTTTTTTCATAAAATCATTAAGATTTTATCAGTTGACAATTTTTTCATATCTCTTGGAGGAACCAAGGAGCTTAAAGTAAAGTTGACATTTTGCAGGTCATTTAAACAGTATCAGAAGACAGAAAATTTCGTATTCAACAAAAGTGGTTGTTCAACAGAGCGCGTTTTCTTAGAAGATTTAGTCATTTTTTAGATTAGGTTTTTGAAGAATTTGAACAAAATACAATCGCTTGCGAGTGAGCTTGGCGTTCTCTGGAAAATTTCAGATCAAGAATTCGAAAAAAAAATCTGACTAAGCAAGCCTAGAAATTTCCTGTAAAAGTCTGACATGTACAGAAAAAAGAGTGAGTGAGTGACACCGAAAAAAAGTGAACACGAAAAAGAAGTGGTAGTTCGGTTGGAAAACATAAATATATACATAGCGAAGAGGACAGACAACCCTTTCTTCCATCCCATACTGACACATAGACATATAACATAATACATATGAACACACAAAAGAAAATAAATTTAGGCAGACAGAAGAAGAAGAATAAATGTGGAAAAGAATGGAGGAAAGGGCAGAACAAATGAGAAATTGGAGGAGGAGAATAAGAATTGCTAGTTTTGGCTATTTTTGGGAAAAGGAGGAGATGGTGTACTTTGTGTTGTTGATTGAGAAGATTCTCGAATCGGCTGCAAAATTGTCTAAATGACCTAACACTTTGAACAAGTTTTGGGAGTGCTGATTTGAGACAATTTAAGACAGCTAAAAATAGTAACAACGAGTTTTCCTTCCATAGAAATCAGCTTCTAGATATTACAGTAAACGTATATAGAGGGCAAATAATTCGGAGGGTACAAAAATTTAGGAATCATTGGGGTACAAAGCAATTTAGGGGTACAAAATCTTCGATTCGGAGGTACAAAATACCTGAAAAAGGCTTAGTTTTGTACTCCCGAATTGTGAATTTCGTATCCCTAAATCACTTTGTACCCCATTGTACCCCCGAATTATTGTACCATCAGAATTATGTGCCTATAGAGTCATGTTCGATGTATATTCGCTGAGTAGCGACTCAACGACCCAACTAGAGTGATACGAAACACACATTTCTAGTAGTTTAGCACATTTTCAAGAGAATTCTGAATACATAATTTTCCCCGAATTGGAGAAAATAAATGCGTAGGCTGGTGACGAGAACAAGAACCGCTCGTTAGCGATTTGAACAGAAAGACACTACCTGCATATTTTGTGTACTGGAGATTAGATTATGAATGCAGAGGGTATTCAAAATAAATGTAGATTGAGAAGGAGTACATAGGAGGAGAGGATCGAAGAGAAGAAGAGGAAATGAACAGGTAACAATTACAATTTACTTATCTTCGGACCCCAAAGAAGGCTCTAATAGAACACAACTCTTATGAACACAATTATCTTGATTCCTGTGACAGATATCAGATTTTTGTCTACTAATAAAATTTTGGGTGATAATATGATAAACATTTTATTAGTTGGCAAATTCGAATTATCTTTCAAGGAAAGCGAGATAATTAAGATTTTTGAAAAAGCTGAATTCTCACTTTGACGTCTTCTGAAGACATCTAGAAACAAAAAGTCACCGCCAACAGAAAGGTTTACGTCATCAAAGATGACATATGGACAATTTGAGTAGTGAGAAAGGGGAGTATGAAAATTGGTTCCATTCGGCATCTTTTCTGAACTTTTAGCTGAGCAAACCAAACTGCAAACTTGACATTAGCACACAAGAATATCAAAATCCATTAATCCAGAAAAACACAACTCCTCTAATGGATTTTCAGAGATTTCGGCTAAATGTATCTTGTCATACAACACTAGAATTAATCTATCTTGGTCAAGATTAAGGATTGGGGAGGTACGCAGCGAAATCAAACTCTACGTTTAATACTCAGTTCCTTATTTTGTGAATGTCGCTTAGTGAATCTGAAAATGCAGTTAAAGGCGCAGCATGGAAAAACCATGGATACAATAATTATTGCATACAGTAACAGGAAGATAGTTAATTTTTAGAAAGTTTTGAAAGTAGTCCAGAATGTTTCGATTATTCTGAAAATGTTGAAATTGACTAAAAATACGGTAACTCGCTCTTGCGCCTTTAAGTGTTCCTTTAATGTTACTCTCGCTCTCAGCGTATATTGATTTCGAACTAGTCAGAAAAATCTAGAACATCACATCATTTTTCTCAACAACAAAACACACAAAATGAAAGAAATTTTCTGGGTGAAGAAGAAGAAAAAAGAAGAAGTGAGTGTTCTTTTTTCATTGTGCCATTTTCCAAATTGGTGGAAAAAAGAAGAAAAAGAGGAAACAAAATGAAGTCCACACACATGTGATACATCAATTAGAAAAATGAGCATTCGGGGAAGGAGGAGAAGGAAAAGTAATGTTTGATTTTATAAATAAAGGAAAGAAGAGAGAAAAGAGCAGTTGAAAAGAGAGAGGAAAAAAGAAGAAGAAGATGAGCAACACCTCATTACCACCCGATGCTCCGAGGATTTTATATAAGAAGGATAATGGGATTTGAGCAATGGGAGGGGCATTAAGGGGATCTGTTTATTGAAAAAGTTTGGAGTTAGATGTGCAGTTGAAACTCATAAAACTCACTAGTCCACTAGCTAACAGTTTTTAGCTAGCTGTTTTGGTTTTTGAGATATGCGCCTATAGATTTTGCGCGCCCTTCTAGGGAGTGTACACCTTTAAAGACGCATGTCTCGAAAACTATGGTAGTTAAAAACAAAATTCTAAATAAGAAATGTGTGAAATTTTAGGCTGAGCAATTTAATAGTAAGCAGCTTTTAGCTAGCTTTTATGGTTCTTGAGATATGCGCTTTTAAAGTAGGCACATCCCTAGAGGAGAAGGAGGTGTGTCTCCTTCTTAGCACTATACTTCAAAGGCGCATATCTCAAAAACTACTGTAGCAGACAACAAATCGTAAATTATCAAAATGTGTAAAATTCTATGCTGAGCAATTCATTAGTGGACAACTTAATGATAACTGTCTTGGTTTTGGAGATATGCGCCTTTAAAGTTTGTGCGCCCTCCTAGTTATGCTAACTTTATGCTAACATTATGTTATGCTAACATTATGCTAACTTTAAAAGCGCATATCTCCACAACTGCTGTAGCTATCTAAAAACTTTTAACTAGTAAAATATGTGAAATTTAATATTGATTAAATTTGTAATTAACTAATTTTAGCTTGGAGTTAGATGTGCAGATTTTTGGGTTGTTAAAATGGAAGGCATGATGTACCAGCCCGCTCCGTATCACTCTAGTTGTCCTTTAAGCTCAATTATCTCGGTTCCTGTCAAAGCTATCAAACATTTGTCAACTGATAAAATGCTTTTCATAAGATAATTTACATTTTATCAGTTGGCTCATTTTTGATATCTCTCCCAGGAACCGAGGTAATTGAGTTCAAATTAGAAGTATGGGAATTCCAGGCGAATTTGAAAAAAATGGAAATTGGCGGGGTTAGTTTAGAACTAATAATCGATCTTCAAAATGGAAATTCCAAAACAGTGCCAAACTAAAACGAAATGTGCTAACCCGAGCACACTGACTGACATGTACATATCAATACACCATTTTATAAAAATGTGGTGGTTTATTGATGGGGGGTTTTAGAGGGAATAGAGAACGAGTGAATTGGAGAGAGAAAGAGAAAAAGAAAAGGTTCAATAATGGCCGATTGTGCAGTTTTATTACTTTGGGTGAAATGGAGAAAAAGGGAATGAAAAACTCGAAAAAAAAGGAAAAAAGAACTACAAACTACCGTATTATTGGAGTATCATGCTTAGAGAAAATAAGGTAACGACACAATCATCAATCGAATGAGATACCGTTAAACCTGTATTAGAAGGGCCCCTTCAATAGAAGGGCCCCTGTAATAGAAGGGCCCTCCGAGAGGAGCTTAGAAAAATAAAAGGGTCCCTGTAATAGAAGGGCCTTCTGTGAAAAAGGACCCAACTTCAAAACGTGTGTTGAAATCAAAAAATTTCCGTACTTTTTCAGTGGAAAACATCCCGGGAACTCCACAATTTAATAGAAATTTGCTGAAATTCTACTTTTCGATAAAAATCTTGCTAAATTTTGGGGAAATTGGCAGATTTTCATGAATTTTGAACGAAAATTCGTCGAATGTTTCGATGAAAAACTTCCGAAGAAATGGCCGCAAAAATAGAAGGGCCCCTTTTAATTGAAGGGCCCCTGTAATAGAAGGGCCCTCCGGAGGTACCTTGGAACAATCGAAGGGTCGACCATTCTAATACAGGTTTTACGGTATTTCAAATTGCGAGAAAAGTGAAATCCGAAAAAAGTGTTTTCTGGCTCAGCAAAATAGTTATCTACCTATTTGTATCACAGGAAATATATATCTTACAACCCAACCAATGATTTGTCTGGACGAGAAGATATGAAAGCGGTTCGTAGGAAAATCTCTATTCTTCCTGGAAACACGGGGAATTGGAAACTATATATAATGCCTTCAAACCGTTGACTTTGAGCTCTTATGTCCTATGAAATATTCTTAACATAGTTTCCTACACTCTAATAGAACTAAACTAAATACTTGCACTTTGAGCATAATTATCTCGATTCTCATAAAAGATATCAAAAATTGGTAAACGTAAAAAATGTTTTTCATAATATGAGGAACTTTTTTTTTTAATATCTTTAACAGGAACCTAGATAAATTAAGCCAAAGTTGGGAAACCTTTTCAACTAAAATAATATTGTAAAAATCAGTTCAATGATCGCCTGTGGTGGGCCAGTCTGATCTCTGCGATTGAATCCAAACTCGTGTGGTCCAGCGTGTAACAAGGCCAGATTCAAAATTGTTTTTTTTCGAGAGATTCAAAATGAGTATAATCATGACCCAACTCCCACAATTTTTCAAATTTCCCGCCACAACTTGTCCGCGAGGAGTCCAAAACTAGCCGTCGAGAAAGTAGGTCATGATTATATTCCTTTTGAAGTGTTCGAAGAGCTCATTCTGAATATTTAAAACTGGAAACGTGGGAATCGAAAATTACCATTTTTGATCATTTTCAAATCTCCCGCCAAACCATGCCTATCGAGTTGATCAATTGTGGCGGCTGCAAGAAACGAATTACCGAGGATGAAGTAACCAAGGTATGTGGCCTAGAACTTTCTAGCCCATTCATTTTCCAAAAACTTACAGGATCAAGTGGTGTCGTTGTTGAATCGTATCTGGCACAAAGACCATATTTCGTGTGTTTATTGCAAAGTAAGCAATCTACAGTAATCTACAGTAATCCAAAAAACAATTCCAGCTCACCATCTCGGACGGTCGCTTTTTCAAGTCCGCAGTCGACCCAATGCGACCGTCGTGCTACGCGTGTCATATTCAAACAACTCATCCAGCGTGTGTTGGTAAGTGTGGCCTAGAAAAATTAGGCCATTGAAATAGGCTCTTCAAGAGCTTCAAAATGAGTATAATCATGACCCATCTTTTGAAAAATTTAAATTTCGCGCCACCTCTTGTCCACGAGGAGTCCAAAACTCTTTATCGAGAAAGTAGGTCATGATTATATTCATATTAAATGTCTTGAAAAGCAGAATCTGAGTATCAAAGCCCAAATACATTGCAATTTTCAGGCTGTTCACTGCCCGTAATCGAACGAGGACTGGTTGCATTCGGTCGTCTGTTTCATATTGACTGCTTCCGTTGTGCCATCTGTAATCGAACGATTCCACAGAGAAAAGGATTCTATGAGAGAGATTTGATGTTGTACGATGATGTCTGTTATATGATGTACATTAAAGATTCGCCGAATCCACCAATGAGAAGTCCGATGAGCAATAATTGAGAAACTAAATTTGAATGAATAGTTTTTGGAATAAATGATATGATTAGAAATTGATTGATGGCTAGTTAGATTCAAAATCTGATATTTTCGGGTCCAAAATTTACATTTCTAGATAAAAATTACAACTTTTTTAACTTTTTCCGTCCACCACACAATAGAATAGCGTAAGACCTGTTGAGCCAATTTATCTCGGTGGTTGTAAAAGATATCTGACATCGGTCAACTGACAAAATGTTTATCGTAATGTCAGAAACATTTTATCAGTTGATTACTTTTTGTATCTTTTACAAGAAATGAGATATATGGAACTGAAGCAAACAGTATGGGAGTCCAGATTTTTTCGAGAAGATTCTAATAGATTCATCCTTGTAGATTTTTGAATTTTGTAAAAAATTGGATTTCTAGATTTTGAATTTAATACTGTAAAGTCTGTTTTTTTGGTCCGCAATGTAGGGTCCCCAACTTTGAGCTTGATTATCTTGGTTCATGTGAAAGATATCAAAAAGTTGTCAACTGATAAAATGTTTATCATAATATCAGCAATATTTTATCAGTTTACTACTTTTTGATATCTTTTACAGTAACCGAGATAAACTGAATCAAAGTGGGCTTCTTCCATTACAGGCGTTTCCATAAATTGCAGCGATCTTTTTCACAGCCTCATAATGACTCAACAATAAGAGGAAAAATTTACCCTTCCACAAAAACAGCACAGAATCTATTTTCGCCCTCCTTTCTCCTTATCAAAACTCCTCTTGTGAATTGTGAATTTCTTTCATTTCTCTAATCCCCCTCTCTCTCTCTCTCTCTCTCTCTCTCTCTCTCTCTTTCCAGTTGCTCACCTTGCTCAGCTGATCCCTCCCTTCCCTTCTCCGCCAAAATCGGATTTAGTTTTTGTTTCTTTTGCCCCTCCCTCTTCTTCATCACCACCATATTCTTTATCTGTGCTTCTTCTTCTACTTCTCCCTTCTTCTTCAACTGCTCTTGTTGCTCTTTAACATAAAACACACTTCTCCGCCTTTTTCCATATAAAGTTTTGTATATATAATATGCACACACACTAGAGGTTGTAACATATGATATCCTGGGATTTCTTCTCATTTTTATATCTTCCTCCTGATCTCTTTTTTTTCCATTTTGGTTTGTATGTACCACTTTTCAAGTTAAATGCTAGGAAAAATAACGACGCAATTTTTAGCGCATTTACTTTGGCTCAACGTATCTCGGTCCCTGTGAAAGATATCAGAAAGTTGTTAATTAAAAAAATGTTACCATAATATCACAAACAATTTATCAGTTGACCACTTTTTAATATCTCTTACAGAAAGTGAGATAAATAGGATCAAAGTAAGCTAGGTAGTTTGTCCATCTCATGACCCTCTCTAGCCCTCCCCGTTTATCTCAGTTAGAGAAATCAAAAAGTTAACAACTAATGAAATGTTTCTGATATTATGATAAACATTTTATCAGTTGATTACTTTTTGATATCTCTCACAGGAAGCGAAATAAATGGGGTCATAGTTATGGACCCCACTATTATAATTTTTACGGCATGCTACGGACAAAAACATGCACATTTTTCATCTAAAAATGCGCATTTCAGATTTGGAAATGACGAATTTAGAATCAAAAAATTTAGATATAAAAACCAAAAATGTTTTTCCAAATTCCGTTTTCCAAAAAATCTGGAGGGATCCCGAAAAGTCAACGCCACTTCTAGGAGCGCGATTATCTCGTTTCCTATTAGAGGTATCAAAAATGTGTCAATTAGCAAAATGTTGAGCAATATATCACACATGTTTTATCAGTTGACCACTTTTTGATATCTTTCATAGAAACCGAGATAATTGAGCCGGAAGGGAAGGTATACGGTGGGGCTCGGAAGGCGCCGCGTAGCTCAGCCGGTAGCGGCACGACACCTCTAATATTTTGCCCGCAAGTTCAACTTCTCCAGGGACCTATTTGAGCTAAATATCGAGATATATAGTTTGTTTTTATAATGAATTACATCGGGATATTCAAAAAATGGCGCTTAATTTGAAAAGTTGGACTATGAGGCTCTCAAAATCTATTCAGTTTTTTTTTCAATTCAACTTAAACTTTTTATCTATACTAAACAAAACTAGGGCTTCATTTTTGCAGTTGACAACTTTTTCATAAAGTAAGTCCCTGAGGAGATATGCCACGTGGAAGAGACCCTCCTTCCTTGCGCGAAATTATCCAACAAATCTAAAAGTTTTGGACCTTTTTTCCAAACCTCAAAATTACGGTCTTCAGTTTTTGGAAAACCCAACTTTTTTCTAGATGGTAACTTTAAACGTCTGTATCTCAAAAACTAAAAAGGCTAGTCAATTTTCGTCAACTAGTAAAATATTGCAAATTGCATTTTACACATTTTTGTAGTTGACCAAATTTTTCTAGCTTTTTTAGTTTTTGAGATATACGTATTTAAAGCTGCCTCGTTCCGTATGGAGCTTAAGGGGCTAAATTCCAAAGCTAGCTCTCTTCCACGCGGCATATCTACTCAGGATCGAATTCTACAAAAAAATTGTCTACTACAAAATTGCAGCTCTATTTTTGTTTAGTATACTCGTAAATTTTCAGACAAGTTCGTGAAATATGAAGTACTACTGTAGGCTCGATTGATACTATAAGAAACGTCTTTTTCTGCTTCTCCCATTTTTAAAGGGGGACTCCGGTCAAATTTTTTATGGCATTAAAATGTGTTAAAAGTTATCTATTTTCCTAATATAATTGCGAAAATGTTTTTTAAAAATCCGAAATCCCCGAAAAACGCCGTTGAAAAGGAAAAAATTCAAAAAAAAGGTGCCGCCGAGGGACGAGGATTTTCAGTGAGAAACCTAGGCCACGCGAGCGGCGCGACTTTCTTACCGGACAATTTTTCCGGATTTTTTTCGCTTTTATCTCCGACAGGTAAGAAACATTAAAAAACACTGTCGGCCACTTGAAAATAATGCTATCAGGCGCCGTGGCCTAGGTTTCTCACTGCGCGGGAATTCCAATCCTCGTCCCTCGGCGGCACCGTTTTTTGAATTTTTTTCACTTTCAACGGCGTTTTTCGGGGATTTCGGATTTCTTTCGAATTTTTTCGCAATAATATTCGGAAAATAGATAACTTTTGAAACATGTTAATACAAAAAAAAATTTTGGTCGGATTCCCCCTTTAATTTCAAACCAATCAAAAAGCAATTTGTGTCATCCTCCTTTTATTGTTTTTTTTCTCTGGAAAAAGCTGGAAAAGGAAAAGAAGAAGAAGTGTCAAATTAAAAAAAGAAGAAAAGCGACGAGAATTCTAGAATTCGAGGGAAAAGGGAAGCTCAATTTCAAGAGAGAGAAAAAATGCAACAAGGGGAAAAAAGAGAAGAAGAAGAAGAAGAAGAAAAAAGGAGAATTGTGTGTGCAGATGTTATTTTTAGGGGTCCAATTTAGACGAATTCTTTCTCTCTCTCTCTCTCTCTCTTTCTCTCTCTCTCTCTCTCTCTCTCTCTCTCTCTCTTTTTTTTTTCCTCCGCATTTGTTGTTTCTCAATTTTCCCTCTTCTTTATATATTCAATTTATTCCTCTATTATTTTTCTTTTCACATAATCGCTTCAAAGCAATCTGTTTGTCCAGATGTCCAAAAAAAGATACTACCAAACTTTGAGAATCTCAAAAGCTAGTCACATTTTTTTCAATTTAGCTGAAACTTTTTAATTATACTAAAAAAACATCGAGCTTCAATTTTGTAGTTGACAACTTTTTTGTAGGATTCCGTTCAGAAGAGATACGCCGCGTGGAAGAGGCACCACCGCAGCTCGTGCGATGGTTGCCTACCTCTTCCACGTGGCATATCTCGGCAAGGGTTAATTATCGATGAAAGTTGTCAACCACAAAAATGTAGCTCTATTTTCGTTTAGTATACCGTAGAATTTTCCAACAAATTGAGCACGATTTTCCAATTCTTTCTGAAGCTCAAAAATCACCGTCTTCAGTTTTTGTGAAACTTAACTTTTTTCTGGATGGTCACTTTAAACGCCTGTATCTTAAAAACTAAAACCGCAAGGTAATTTTTGTCGACTAGCAAAATATTGCAAATTGAATTTCCCCCAATTTTTTAGTTTATTACATTTTTCTAGCTTTTCTAGTTTTTGAGATATACGCATTTAAAGTTGACTCGTTCCGCATGTAGCAAAAGGAGCTAAATTCCAACAAAAAAGTTCCAAAACGACACACCGGAAATCCCTTCCAGAATGTCTCGAAAAACAACTTTTTTTTTCAAATCCCTCATTTTTCTATCTTCTTTCTCCCAAATTCTAACCCATTTTTTCTTTTTTTTCTGTTGGTCCTAAAACATTTTTTCTGCTGCTTTGCTCCAAGTTTTCTCTGATTCCTGACTCTCAAGTGGTTTGTTGTCTTTTCTTGGCTTTTACAAGTTTTTTTGCTGGGGGGAATTGAATCAAAGCAGTTTTGGCTCTTGTTTTTGTTTTTTTTTTTTGAAAGGTCATAGAATTTTTTGAACGATGAGAATTTAAAGAACGATGAGAATTTGAACGATGAGAATTTTTTTTACATCGAATGAAGCTTTAAAATTTTTCACCGCACACCACCTTGAAAAATGAGGCATACCAATGGAAAGAGGGTTTTTTCTGGGTCTAGAACAATTTTCGAAGTTTGATAAGCAAACAGGAGAGCCGAGATATTAGCTTTCTGAAAAATGAGTACAAATTTGAAATTTCCAACTTTTTTAATCAGCTCCCTCCTCTCCCCCAGTGCCCTCTCAACACACCATTGCTCTTCACCGCCATCACGCCTCTGTGTGCTAATGCGCCGATAGCTGAGAGGTGCACGCGCCTGTCTGGTAATCTCGCATTGCGGGTTCGACACAGGTCCTGGGCGATGATGCGCATAAAGGACTCGATCCATATGCGATCCTCTAGAAGTCCGTTTGACACATATCGCGAACAACGAGCTGCGATGAGTCTCATACAGTACTGGCCATAAAGAATGCGACAACTTGTTTTTTGACGATAACTTTTTGAAAACTCAACTTTTCAACTCGAATTTTTTACTGTAGACACATTGGAAAGTTACGAAAACTTGCGTACTTGGAAATTGCATCATCTTGCAAACAAAATTTTTTTTCAATTGTTTTCTTTTTTTTTTTCATTTTGCATATTTTTCATGATTTTTGGTTTTTTTTAAATAAAGTTGAAAGACAACTAATTGGAATTAGTTTTAGTTATTGTTTTATTGTTTTTCAGATATGGTTAGACCATTCGGGAAAAAATCCTTCTCTGTGGACGAGCGAAAAAGCATTGTGCGTGGTCATGAACTCGGCGCGCATCCGAAGATACTTGCAACTCAGTTTAGTTGTTCTTCCAGCCAAATTTACCGTATTCTGAAGAAAAATCGAGATGATGTGAGGTTTCAATCAGCTTTCTCAACTAAATTTAACAATTTAGAATGGCGTTGTTCATCGCCAATCTCCAGGAAGACCCCGAACCACTTCCAGAAATATGGATCGGAACATTTTGCGCGCATGCCGAGAAGATCCTAGACGCACATCTACGGATATTCAACTTTCTGTGACGTCTCCAAATGAACCGGTACCATCGAGAAGAACTATTAGAAGACGTTTGCAAGTTGCTGGACTGCACGGACGAAGACCAGTCAAAAAACCACTCGTCAGTTTGAAAAACCGAAAAGCTCGCGTTGAATGGGCTAAACAGCACTTGTCCTGGGGCCCCCGTGAGTGGGCAAATCACATCTGGAGCGATGAATCGAAGTTCAATATGTTCGGAACTGATGGTATTCAGTGGATTCGACGTCCCATTGGCTCCAGGTATGCTCCACAGTACCAATGTCCAACTGTGAAACATGGAGGTGGATCTGTGATGGTTTGGGGATGCTTCTCCGACACTTCTATGGGACCATTGAAGAGAATCGTTGGAACCATGGATCGATATGTGTACGAAGACATCCTGGAGAACACAATGAGACCATGGGCAAGAGCAAATTTGGGCCGATCGTGGGTGTTCCAACAGGATAATGACCCGAAGCATACTTCGGGTCATGTCGCCAATTGGTTCAGACGTCACCGTGTGAACCTCCTAGAATGGCCAAGTCAATCTCCAGACTTGAATCCCATCGAGCATATGTGGGAGGAGCTGGAACGCCGCCTCAAAGGAGTCAGAGCATCCAATGCCAATCAAAAGTTTGCTCAACTCGAAGCTGCTTGGAAGAGTATCCCGATGACGGTGGTTCAGACGCTCCTGGAGTCGATGCCACGTAGATGCAAGGCTGTTATCGATGCGAAAGGATACCCAACGAAATATTAAATCACTTTTTATTGTTACCTTTATTTTGTTTTTGACCTCCGGTGTTTCTTGAGCTTCTTTGTATAGATCTCCAAAAATGTCATTTTCATGAATTTTCGAAAAAAATTAATTTTCAAAAAAATTGTAGCAGAATATTAAAACCAACTTAGCCTAAAAGTTTTTGATAGTGCTGAAAAAATCTTACCAAAAATTCGGATTGAAAAGTTGAGTTTTCAAAAAGTTATCTTCAAAAAACAAGTTGTCGCATTCTTTATGGCCAGTACTGTATGTGTGCGATGCGGGAGAGGCTGAATCGAGTGTTCCGAATGCGCGCGTATCCTAGATGAATTCTGGGTGGGTGGGCGATGTGTGCGATATGGGTCTGATACGGTAGGCCGACTACAACACTCCGAAATCCCGGATGCGCGCACCGTAAATCCACACCGGCAACTTTGTCAATTTTTCGTCAATTCGAGCCTACATTTCTGGTTTTTCGATTATTCCTTCGATGTTTTTTGTGAAAAAGAGTTATGGCAGAATAAAAAATCGCTGAGTTCTTGCAGAAACATGTCTTTCACTCGTTAATTGCTATGTTTTTCGCCAAAATAGGTGATATTGAGATTTTTTGATTTCACTTTGTAATTATTGTAAAAATCGTATTTTCAGGTGGAGTAAAAGGTAAGTTGGTAAGTATAAAATAATTACAAAGTTTAAATTATGAAAATTTTCAATTTTTCGTGCAATTTCAAAAAAGTGAAAGTGAGACATTTTTTGAACAAATGAAAAAAAAAACAATTTTTAGCGAATTTTTTCCCATTTTGTTCTGTTTTTGATTGCATATCAAATTTAAATGGAAACTGCCATAAGTCTTTTTCAAAACCAAAACATTGAGTTTCGAAAAATCAGTAATATGTCGTTCAAAATATAAAAGAATATGGAATAATAAAGGAAAAGTACGAAATCGGAAGACCTGAACAAAATCACATCACAATAGAACTTAACTGATACTTCTAGGAACCCCCAACCAATGTTTTATTTCATTTCATCGAGTGCCAGCAAGCCAGGCGAGGAGATGCTTTGCGGCGGCGGTGTGCCCCATATGCCCCGTATATGCCCCATACCGGCGTCCTTTCCCTGTACCCAATTCATCGGCGCGTCCTCCGTCGCCCATCCATTATGCGTATGCGCGCCCAGGACCTGTGGAAACTCATTGTGGTTTTGTTCTTTTTTCGGCTTTTTGCTAATTTTTTTTTTCACTTTTAGAAGCGATTTTGGAGTCTGAAAGGCTCCAAATTCTTAGAATTTTCGGAATCCAGGCTTTTAGACTGTCTGAATCGCTCTATTTATGCAATTCAAAACTTTCAAATCCTGAATTTTCGAACTTTCTAAAATCGCAAAATGTTACAACAAAATAAAGAAAATCCTCTTCTAATAATATTCACATCCTTCCTTCTTCTTCCTCTAAACCCCATTGACCCCGACACTTCAGATGTTCTCCTTCTTCTTTTTTTCTTCCCCTATTCCTCTTATCTCCCCTTACATTGCTCATCTTTTTAACGCACACACACACACACATCTGGTCGTTCTTTTATTAGTTTTTTTCTTGCACTGAAATTTCTCTAGCTTTCTGGTTTTTTTAGATCCATTAGCAAAAAAAACACCCTTCGAAAAAATAAAAAAATATTGTAAAATTTCTATTTAAAATTAAAATTTCTATACAAAATTTTATATTATTTTTTTCTCTTTTTCCCTCAATTCCATCCCTTAAATAAGCCCAAACTCGTGCCTCCGATCCCATGAGACCATCGCACCAATCGCGCTCTATTGAGAATCAACTTGAGCAGAGGAGAATGCGGCGAAATAGTGTACGGTATAGAGAGACGCAGACGACGAAGAGAGGAATTCGCTCTCAACAAAATGTTACTTTTTGGCCCCCCGTTTTCGGCCTGGAAAACCCGTTCTTTTTGCCTTTGGGGCAAGAAAAAAATGCGAAAATTTTTCGTGTTTTGTGAAGTCTTCTTTTGAGGGGTTAACTTGGTTTTTTTAGAGAAAAAAGATCTTTTCTCGAGAAACATTTCATT